TCCCTCCAAAGGGCATCCTGGCTGTCCCAGGAGCTCTCTAGGGCTGCCCACCCCTTCTCTGCCCTGGCAGGAGCCAAAATCGGTGGTGGCCGCAGCAGCCGTGCAGCGCATGAACCCTGATGTCAGAGTGACGGCTCACCAGAACCAGATGGGACCTGCTACTGAGATACTCTACAAGGACAATTTCTTCCGGCACCTGGATGGCGTTGCCAGCGCCCTGGACACGATAGAGGCCCGTGAGTGCCAGGAAGGGCAAGAGGGCCAAGCCCCTGGACATGCTCCCTGGGTCCGCAGCACTCCTGGCTCCCTGCAGGCACCTATTTGGAGAGACGCTGTCTCCGCTGTCGCACACCACTGCTGGACTCGGGCACGGAGGGGACACGGGGGAATGTGCTGGCCATGGTACCGTGCCTGACCAAGCCTCTGGGGCCAGCCGGTACCGCCAGGGATGGCACCTTCCCCGTCTGCACCCTGCGGCACTTCCCCCGCACCATCCAGCACACACTGCAGGTAGGCTGAGCTGCCCCAGCCACAGCACCCAACGAAGAGGCACCGAGACCTTTGTCTTCCTTCCCCTTGTCCCCTCCAGTGGTGAGCCATGGGCAGGATATAGCCCCAGCTGCTTCCTGCTGGCAGCCTGAATACTGCTGCTGGCTCTGCCAGAGCCTCCCCCTCCCCCTGCGTTGGGGGCATAAGAGGGAGGTTCTAGTGCTCAACACCTCCTTTTCTCACACCTCAGTTTCTTCTCCACAGTGGGCCCGTGAGGAGTTTGAGGGGCTTTTCCAGCTACCTGCAGAGCAAGTCAACAAGTTCATGGAGTGAGTGGACTCTGGGGGTAGTGACACTGGGAGAGGAGCTTCCAGCTCTGTCAGGGCACTGCTGGGAATGGCGAGAGGGTGCCAGACAGCCACATCCCACCCAGGTGCCTCACAAGATTGCTCTTGGGCCAGCATCAGCAGTTGCCTGGTTTTGCAGGGACCCAGCTTTCCTGGAGCGGCAGCCGCCAGGGAAGGTCCTGGAGCAGGTGTGGGACAGCCTGCGGGAGCGGCCGCAGGACTGGCGGGACTGTGTGCGCTGGGCCTGCCGGCGCTGGCAGAGCTCCTACCACGATGGCATCGCCCAGCTGCTGCACATCTACCCCCCGGAGCATGTGAGCCCAGCACCATAGGGCTGGCACGCCCGTCCCTCCACCAGCCACCTCACTGCAGCCAGGGCCACATGCTCCGGGCCTGACTCTTCTCTCCCTGTGCCAGGAAACCAGCCCGGGTGTCCCCTTCTGGGCTGGGGACAGGAGCTGTCCCCATCCACTGACATTCAACCCTGACAATGTGAGTGCAGGGAGGGAGAGCTGTGGGGTCTCATGTGGGAATGGTATGGGCAGAGGGAGAGCCAAGCCTGTGCTGGGCATACAGGGAATACTAAACTGTAGATGTGCTCTATCTGCCACAACCTGTGCAGGGCTGCCTGGGCTGGGTCTGTCCCTGTGCCCCAGTCAGTGAGGGCACTGCAGGGGACAGCTTGCACATGCTCTGTGGCCAGAGGAGGAGGAGAGGCTACTCCACCTCCACTCTGGGGCAAAGCCAGGCAGTTCTACCAGCTTGGGGCAGTGTTGGCAGCCCTTGGCTATGTGGGACCACCCCAGAAAGGCACCCCATAGCCACCCTTGTTCTACTTCACAGGACACCCACCTGGATTATATCCTGGCTGCTGCCCACCTCTTTGCCCAAGTACACAGAGTGCCACCATGCATGGACCGGGCGGCCATCCAGGCTGTCATCCGTGATGTGGTCCTGCCACCCTTTGCACCCCAGGAAGGGATCCAGATCCCCCTCACAGAGGAACCCACAGAGGCACAAGTTCCCACAGGTGAGGTTCCCAGGTATGTTCCTGGGTCCAGCCTGGTGGTGGTGGGGCTCTGTCTTCTTGTCCCTGCTTCAGCAACCAAGATGACCGAGACCAAGGTGGGGACACCCCAGCAGTGCCACAGTGCAGGAGTATCATGCCATGTGTCCCTGTGCCCACAGATCACAGGCAGCTGACAGAGGTTACCCAGGACCTGGTGCAGTGGAGACAGGAACTGGTGGGGGATGAAGACACACATGCACCCTTGATGGAGCCCATCCACTTTGAGAAGGTAGGGGAGCCAGGCAGGTGGCCCTGCTCAGCCTGGGGGTGTTGATGTCCCCATGGGATGCAGATGTCCCCCCACTCTTCCCCACAGGACAATGATGTCCATGTAGACTTTATCACAGCAGCGTCCAACCTGCGTGCAGAGAACTATGGCATCTCCCCTGCCAACTGGCTGACGGTGAGAGGGGCAGCCTGTGGGGTCAGGAGTCCCTGTCCTGTGTGGGGCAGCTGCTGATGCCCTCCTGTCCCCAGAGCAAGCGAATTGCCGGGCAGATTGTGCCCGCCATCATCACCACCACAGCAGCCGTGGCCGGGCTGGTGTGCCTGGAGGTCTACAAGCTGGTGTGGGGGTGCCAGGACCTCAGCTGCTACCGCAACAGCAACATCAGCCTGGCTGCCTGCCTGCTGCTCCGTGTGCAGCCCCCGCCAGCCCCCACCTACCGGGTAGGACCCTCTCCGCTGGCAAAGTGCAGGTGGGGGACACCACGGGGCCAGTGGTGTCTGCTGTGGGACAATGCCAAAGGGATCCAGGGGAAAGGAGGTGGCCATGCAGCAAGGGCAGCCCGGGCCATAGCACTCCAGAAATGGATCTGGGTGCTGCAGTGGGTTGGGAATGCTGCCAGGCAGTGAGGAACCAGCTCCTTCCCCTGGCTGACCCTCAGCAGTGTCCCATCACCCAGCTCCAGGCCCAGCTGTGATGCTCTGGGGTGCCCCACGGCAGGCCCCACGCTGAGCCCCACAGCCAGGGTGGGAGGCCGCTGCGGCCGCACTCATCTGGCTTATGGAAACCAGCTGCGGCAGCCGGAGAGCAGCTGGCACCGGGCCGGGAAGCGCCGCCCGGGGGAGCGGGGCCGGGGGTCCCGGCGGTGGGGAACCAGGGAGGGAGAGCGGGGGTGGGGGCAGCCCAGATTGGGACCGGCTGGGCTATAGAGGCCCCTTTGTCTGGGGGTTTATGGCGTGCGAGGCAGCCCTTCCGGCACGGCAGGAAGCGCCGATTGGAACCAGATTGGCCCGGGGGGCCCAGGGCCGGGGGCAGGAAGAGGGGGAGGGAGGCGACTCCACTGCCTTGCGCCGGCTCCAGCACTGCTGAGGGCTGCCCCACCACCCCCTCAAACCCCACACCCAGCCCTGTGCCATCCTGGCTGTAGCGTCCCTGGGTTGGCTTCATCCCTGGATGGAGGATGCTGCTGGGTCTGGCCATGCCCTCGGGTCCCTGCAGCAGCACCCAACACCTCCATGTGCCAGGGCGAGGACACTCGGTGTGACATTTCACACCCAGCTGCTTGGCTGTGGTGGGAACACATGTCCCCAAGGCCTGCTTGGTGTGACCTATGTCCCCATGGGGACCTGGGGCGCCCACACTGGGGGCCAGCCTTGTCCAGAGGAATATGGTTTCCAGGACCAGGACAATGTACTTCGGTGATGGAGGGCTGGGCCATGGCTTTCCCTGTGTGCTGAACAGTTGCTGCCCTGGTGAGGATGGGGTTAAGCCCTTCCCACCAGTGGAATAAGTGCAGGCAGCAGAAGGCGGAGGTGAGAAGGCAGCAGAAAGCAGGAGGGAGAGTGACCAGGTGTGAACACCCCCCCGAGTGGGGCTGGGGCCAGGCAGGCAGTGCTGGCGCTGCCCGCAGCGAGGGCAGATGGCCCTGTAGCACTGCCAGACGGCGCGGGGCCGCGTCCGGCGCTTGGCCCCGGGCTTGGCACCACACTGGCCTCCTTGGGCTGGAGCAGGGGTCGTGGGGCCACAGGCATGAGAAGAGATGATTGTGTGGGGCTGGGCAACACTTCAATGGCCTTTTGTGTGCCTGTCCTGGCCCGGGGCTAGGGGCAGTGCTGGCCCCACACTGACACTGACCCTTGAAGTGGACCCCAGCAGTGCTGGGGGCATAGTTGTGTCCCCCACTGCCCCTACACCACCATGGTGCCCCCATCACCCTGCCCATTTGCCTGCCCTGATGTCCCCCAGCCCTTGTGCTGCACCAGTCCCTGCCCCATGGGGCTGGTCAGCCAGGACATGGGGTGCCAGTGCTGGCTGCTACCCCCTGGCAGTATGGCGGGCGGGAGTGGAGCTGCTGGGACCGGCTGGAGATGCGGGCAGTCGGCGCAGATGGGCAAGCGATGACGGTGCAGGAGGTGCTGGACTGGCTGCAGGTGAGCCCAGCGCTGTCAGCACTCGGGTAACCCTGGGGGATGCCGAGCCAGATCCTGACACCCACCTCTTGCAGAGGACATATGGCTGGACTGTGACCATGCTCCTGTGTGGCGACATTGTGCTCTATGACAGCAAGGCAGATGCAGAGACACGGGCCTGGCAGCAGGCACGGAGGTAGGTCCTTGGCTCCAGGGCCCAATCCTGCCCCCGGGGGAGCTTCCAGCCCCCACTGCCTCAATCCTGAGCTACTCCAGCTGCACTGTAGCTCCCAGCCGACTGCTGGATAAACATCCTGCCGGCAGCACTTCCCGTGGCAGGACCCCTGCTCGGCCCCTTGCTGCTGGCCCCTGCATCCCACCAGCCTGGCTGGACACCCCTAAGGGGCCCAAGGCACCCTTGGAGCACTCAGCCAGCCTTTGGGGGACAAGCCAGTGCCCCCAAACCACCCTTTCCCTGCTACAGGCTATCCAAGAACTTGGAGGATGCCAGGATGCTGCAGCAGCAGGACCTGGAGCTACTGTATATCTGCGAGGGAGAGGATGCTGAGGCTGAAGATACCCGTCCCCCTCTTCTGTGCTCCCTACCTTGAGCAAGGGGCCAGCACCTCCTGCCCCATGCAATAAAAGCTGCAGGCTGCAATAGCCCTCCTTGCAAAAACCCCCTGCTTGCCCCTGCCTGGGGCACAGGCACTCCCTTTGATAAATGCTGCGGCGCCCAGACCGTATAAAACCGGGGTTTATTTACAGGGTGGGGGTGCGGGCCGCAGCAGCAAGGCTAAATGTAGCCGATAACGTCGTTGCAGATGATGGGCTGGCGGCTGCGGCTGTTCATCAAGGCGGTGAAGCGGTGGAAGTCCGTGGCCAGCTGGGCGATGTTGCTGTGGGACTGGTGGAAGCAGGCGCCCTTGGGCTGTCCCCCCAGCCCCAGCGGGCAGGAGAAACGCTTGGTGGCATCGCGGCCCCCCGGCCGGGCACCGTCGGCACCCCGGGGCCGGGCCATGTTGGCCAGCTTTCGGCGTACGTTGCCCGAGAGGCTGAGCAGGAAGGCGGGGGGCTTGGCCAGCCGGCGGGAGGGCTCGGCGGGGGCCCGGCGGCGCGGCTCGGCGCCCACCTCGGGCAGGTCCATCCAGTTCTCCACCAGGTCAGCGAAGCAGTTGTCGCCCAGCACCAGAGGCTGCCGGTTCCGGCTCTGCGACAGCAGCGCTACGGTCCAGTCCTGCGTGTCGGCGGGCTCCAGGGCCCTCCACTGCTCCAGGCAGGCGTCCGAGGTGGATTTGGGGCGGACACGGCGGGCGGGGGCGGGCGGTGGGGCGGCGGGGCCGGCGGAGAGCCGGTGTGCCCGTTGGCAGGGCAGCAGATGCCGGCGCCGCACGGGCACCTCCTCTTCCCTCCAGGTGCTCCCCGACGCCTCCGAGTAGCCCGAGTCGAACTCCAGGCTGCGCTCGCTGGCCGGGGGGGAGCGAGCGGCCGGGCTCCCCATCTCCTCCTCGTCGCCCCCGGGATCCAGGCTGCAGGCCGAGTCCGCCGCCGAGCCGGGGCGCGGGGGTCGCGGGGCCGGCCCCGTCGCCCTTCCGGGGTGGTGCGATGTCTGCCGCGTGCTGGGCATGTGCGCCCGCAGCGTCGGCCCTGCCTCCCGCCGGCACCACTGCAGGGAAAGGGCACTGTCAGCGCGGTTGTCGCCACTGCCCCCAGCCAGCACCGCGATCCCCGTCCCACCCTCCTCGGCACCCCGCGTCCCCCCGCCCCGGCTCGTGGGGGCTTCGCTGGCGCAATGGGCGTGCAGCAGGGTGCGGAGAGCGGGCCGCAGGTCCCGGCTTGCCTGCAGCCCCGGGCCCCGGTTTCCTGCGGCTTCTGCGCGGAGCCGGCCGGCGTGCAGCGGCTTGTCGGGTGAGCAAGCAGGCACCCAGCCCCGGCCGTGCCTGCGGGAAATGACAGAGGGCCACGGCACGTAGGAGCGGGCGCTCCACTGCCCCCCCCGACAGCCCCCTTCTCGGTAGAGGCAGCCGGGACACCCCTCCGGCACAGTCCCACTCGGTGGCACGGGGCCAGCGGCAGCCCCAGGGCACCCGCGGGTGCTGGGGTGGGGCTCTGCCCCCGTGCGTTGGCAGGGCCCCCCACCCACCCTGTGCCCTCCAGCTGGGGACACCCCAGGTGACGTCAGGGTGCAGCCAGGCCGGCGGCCAAGGCCCGGGACCCCCCAAAGGCCGGGAAAAACAGGGGACCAAGGCAGGCAGGGCTGAACGGAGCGCGGCCGGGCGGGCGCTGGAAGGGACTCCTGGCTCCCGCAGCCGGGCCGCTCCTCGCTCTTGAATTCCTATTGTCTGAACCCAAAAGCAGGGTGTTACGTCCGTTTTCCTTTCCGCGCTGGAGTCTCGGGAAGCTGAGTATGCAGGAGGGATTGCTTCCAGGACCAATAATTCTGTTCTCTCTGGCTGGCCCTGACAGAGCTGCTGGCAGGACTGTCCTTGTCCCTCTCCACGTCCCCGTCCCGATCCCTGTCCCTCTCCCCGCTGGCTGGGACCCTTTCATCTAGCCCTAGTGGCAATGTGCCACCACTCCGAGCCGCCCTGTCCCGCCGCTGCCCGGGAACACTGGGGCAGCCGGTTGTGAGGTGCTGGGTAAGCATGTGGCAGGCCCAGGAGAGCCGAAGGGTCACCCTGTCACCGCCGCCCCTCGGAGCAGCCTAGGTGGGTGGCAGGGTGGCAGCTCCGGGGGGACGGCGCCGCTGGCACCTTGACAGCTGGACACCCGTGCCCCCACACCACCAGAGTCCCACCGGGCGCACACGTCCCCCGCGCCGCCTTTGGCCTCGCGTGTAATGTCACGGCTTTCATGCCACCGGCAGCGCCCGGACGTCACGGCAGACCCGCGGTCCCCGAGCGGCAGGGCGGGGGCACAGTGGTCCCGTCCCGTCCCGTTCCCTCCCGGTGCCCGCGGCGGCACTCACCCGCTCGGCGCCGAGCTCGTCTGGGCGGGCGTTGTGCATGCCCGGTCCTGCTTCCCCGGCGCCGCTCCCGGCCCCGCTCCCAGAGCCGCCGGTGGCGGTGGCGGAGCAGCAGCAGCAGCGACAGCGGACGGAGCGCCCGGCCGTGCCCGCCGCCTCCCGGCGCTGCCCGGCGGCCCCGCCCCGCCCCGCCCCGGCCAATGGGGCCGCCGTAACGTGAGCCCGGCCCGCACCGGCACCGCCGCCCCGGGGCCCCGCCCCGCCCACGGACCCCTCCCCGCCGCCCCGGGGCCCCGCGCCGGGCACCACCCGGGCACCGCCGGGGCAGGCGAGATCCGTGTCCCGGCCGGCAGCACCTCGGGCACCGGGGGTCCCACAGCTCGGTATGCTCCGCCGACAAGGAGGGCAGCCCCGGTACAGAGCCCCGGCGGAGGCATCTCCCGTCGGCTCCCCGCTCCACCGGGCTGCCAGAGCCGGGCTGGGCGCTGGAGGAAGGAAGGGAAGAGTGACCCTGGCCGTGGTGCCCGTTAATTGGGAACTAATAGCGCTTAATGGGGATCCCGGGAGAAGCGGCACTGGTTTGCAAATGAACGAGAACACGGCCAGAAATTACCTCCTAGCTAATTTTCCCGGTTCCCGAGCGTGCCGCGTGATGAAGCAGCGTGGGGTGGCAGCCAAACCCCACGGAGCTGCGAGGGGCTGGGAGCGGCGCCGTGCAGAGCCGGGGCATGGAGCCCTGCCCTGTCCCTCCCCTGGCCGGGGCGGCCACCACGGGTGGGGATGGACGGTGTGACGCCGGGCCGGGGTGGTGCCCAGCACCCCTGGCAACCGGCTGCAGCTTGTCCCAAACACAGAGAGCCATGGGCATGCACGGACACCTCACCTTCCTCCTCCTCAGCCTCTATGCCCCGGGTAGGTGCTTCAAGGTCGCAGTGTTCGGGGCACTCTTTGCCAGATCCTGGGTGGATGGCTGAGAGGAAGGGGACAGGGGAGAAGCTCTCCTCGGTTGCTCCCACATTCCTGGGGCTGACCCTGGGATGAGCAGAGGGATTGGCAGCTGCCTGGCTGGGTTGAGGCATGGAGGGGGCATCACACGAGCATGCCCAGGGCATTGCCTGGGTGTCCTCAGGGTGTCCTCAGCATTGCCAGGATGTTACTGAGGCTCCTTTTGTGCATCGCTATGGCATATGCAGACACCACTGGGGTTTCATCAGAGCATCTCACAGAGGGACTTCTGGGGCTTCCCCAGGGCATTGCCAGGGCACACCTGGCAGGCTGCAGTGACACTCTCCTCTTTTCAGGGACTTTCGTCAGAACAACAGGTAACAGCAGTGCTTTGGACCCGGCTGTGCCTGGCAGGCAAACCTGTGCCTGCATTAGTGCTTAGGTGCAGGAGCAGGGCTCCTGCACGGCTGGATGAGCCATCAGTGTTCCCTGGGGTCTTCCACCAGTCCTGCCTGACCTGCCACGTTTGGTGGCCCTGAGTGAGGATGCAGTGTCAGGCACCCGCGTCGCTGAGGTGACCGTGTCTTGCAGCAACTCAAGCAGCAGTCCCAATGTCACCCTGGATAGTATCAAGCCCGACCACCCCTTCAACTCCATTGCCATCAGCTCTGACCCCACGGATGCCACCAGGTTCCGGGCAGAGGTGTGGCTGGGGAATAGGGAGTAGGGCAGGAGCTGGCAGGCACCCTGCTGAGTGACTGTGTCCCCATGGCAGGTGACACTGCGTGCTGGTGCAGAGCTCGATGCCCGCCGGGTCAACCTGTACACACTGATCCTGCGGGCTGCTTGTCCTGGTGAGAATGAGGTGGAAGAGCGGCTCTTTGTCTGGGTGACAGCAGGGCATGTGCTGCGCTGTGACACCCTCTTTGCCAGTGCAGGTAGGAACAGGGGGCACAGGGCAGTGGGGGCTGTGGATGCCAGCCAGCACCAAGCTCCCACAGCTATGCTGTGTTCCAGAGGGTGATCTGGTGCAGGTGCTGGCAGATGTGGCACCCCGGACACCCCTGTATGTGGTGCTGCCACAGCCACTTGGTGGACTGACGGTGAGTGGCAGCTCCCTGGAGGGCCACAGCCCCACAGAAGGGAGCAGCCTTGGAGACAGCAGAACCCCGGGTATGGAGGAGTGGGACAGGGGTTCCCATCACCCTCCTTTCTGCAGTTCAAGCTCCAAAACCGCAACACACCACTCACGCTCACACGCCGGGGCCTGTTGCTGGCACCTGACAATGGTTTTGACCCCAGCAAGGACATCCAGGTGGGCACCAGCAGCCCCAGGCTGGTCACAGCCACCTCTCAGCCCTCTGGGGCTTAGCCCCTCCCTGGCCACAGCTCTCCACATCCTGTTCTGCCCATTAGGCCCCTGTCTCCCTCTGGACCCATAAATGCTCCAGCCCGGGTCTCATCCCCTTCTGCATCTCAAGTCCTGTCCACATTCTCATCCCTGTCTGTATTCCTGCCCATTCTAGTCTCCAGCTCATACTCATCTCCATCTCCACACCTCTTCCCACCTCTGTTCCTACTCCAAGCCCCATTCTCATCTCTTGCCCCCTCTCCTTTGTCTCTGTTCCTGTTTCTGTTCCCATCCCAACCCTATTCCTGTCCCTGTCCTTATTAATAGCCTCATCCCTATCCCTGTCCCCATCCCCATCCCCATTGTGGTGCCACTCAGGGCTGTCCAACAGCTGCCCTGGTGCTGGCACACAGATGTTCAGGTTGGAGATTGAGGTGATGGATCATTACGGGCACAACTGCAGCAGGGCTGTAAGGGTGGAGGTGCTGCCACCACGCCGTCCCCGCGTCACCTTCCCGTGAGTGGGGTTGGGTCAGGAGCGGGGTGCTGGTGGCACCAGGCTGTGCCACAATGCCCGCCTCGCCTGCAGTGAGCCACATCTGGCTGTGACAGTGACAGAGGGCATTGGCCCCTGGGAGGTGGTCACACAGGTCCGTGCCAGAGGTGACAATGTCCGCTATGCCATCCTTGCTTCTGTGGCTCCCACGCTCTTCACCATTGATGAGGGTGAGCAGAGATCCCCAGGGACACCCTGTCCCTGTCCCTGTGCCCAGTACGAGGCCATGGCTCCTCCTGCAGTGACAGGTGAGATCCGCAGCACCCGCCGGCTGGAGATGACCCGTGCCCACCTCCTCATCCAAGCTTACAACAGGCTGCACCCCGATGACCACGCCACCACCACAGTCAACATCACCGTGCAGGGGACAGACCGTCAGGCACCAAGATGTACTCCAGCCATCTTCGTGTATGGTTGGGGGGGAGTGAGGTGCATGGGACTCTCTGCTGCACCCAGAACATGGGAGAGAGGCTGAGCTGCTGGCTGCTCTGCCACAGGTCCCAGGTGTCTGAAACCGTGTCCCCTGGCACCACCTTGGTGACATTGACGTGCACCGACACCAGCACTGATGGGTGTTTGCACTATGCTCTCGAGGGGCCTCCCTCCTCCCGCTCCCACTTCTGCATGGAGGGGCCGCAGCTGAAGGTGAGCTGGGCCATGGGCAGTGCCCAGATGGACAGCAAGCCCACCTCCCGGAGCCCAGTGGGACAGTGGGACCCTGTGACACATGTTGTCATGCCAGGTTCTGGGTCAGGGCTCCTCATGGCTTCCTGCTACCCAAGGCCTGCTCGTTCTCCTCACTCTCTCCTTCTGCCCTGGCATTGCAGCTTTTTGGGACACCCTGGCTTTGTGGGATACTCTGGCTTTGCAGGGCATCCGAGCTTTGCAGAGCACCCCAGCTCTGTCTGACACTCCCCTCCTGGCTTGACAGGTCAACACCACCCTGGACTATGACTCAGAGGCCATGGCTACTCTGGGCTTCCAGTTCACAGCCACCATTGTGGTGACAGCGGGAGAACAGCCCCTACAGAGCAGTGAGTGCCCATATCCCTAGAGTGGGAAAAGACCTTTCCCAGTCCCCAAACCAGCAGATCACAAAGGAAACATTCCTTCTGTGCTGCCCCAGAGATGCCCACCCCAGGGCTGGTGCCTCTGTCCCCATCTCAGTCAGCTCAGCAGAGGCTGTGAGATGCCAGCATGGCTGAGCAGCTCTGTGCCACACAGCCCGTGTGCCCGTGCTTGTGACGGTGACACCTGTCAACGAATTCAGACCGGTGTGCCCAGCCAGTGCCACCTTCACTGTGCCAGAGACAGCAGCTTTCGGCAGCATCGTGGGGCGTGTGGCTGGCACTGACCGTGACTACCCCCTGGACAGCCTCGAGTACAGCCTGGAGGGGGGGTCTGGCCCCGCACAGCCCTTCTCCATCGACAGGCACACTGGTGAGCACCTGGCCCCTTCCCCAGCCCTTGCCACAGCCCATGGCACCTCCCAGTTCCCAGCAGCTCACACCTCCCCGCAGGTGTGATCCGCGTGGTGGGACCCCTGGACTCGCAGCAGCAGAAGAGTTACAGGCTGGTAGTGCAGCTGACAGACATCCACAATGACCTGGTCCTAAGGAACAGGCAGAGCCGTCTGTGCAATGTGTCTGTGCGCCTGCAGGTGTGAGGGCAGCCCGCTGGGTGAGCTGTGGGGGGTGCATGGACTGGGGGTGCCTATCGCTTCCCCCTGCTCCTGGCAGGCTGTGCCGGACCAGCTGCCGGTGTGCATCCCCGAGGTGCAGGAGCTGCGGATCACAGCTGGGTCCCCGGGCAGCCGTCAGCCTGTCACCCGCCTGGTGTGCCACCATGGCCCCAACAGCGCCGTGCTGACTTACAACATTGTTGGAGGTGAGGAACGGCCAAGCCATGGCACAAACCAGCCCTCGCTGTGGTGTGACACTGAGCAGACCCTCTCGTCCAGGCAATGAAGATGGGCGCTTTCAGCTGGAAGGGAGCACCCTTGTCTACCTCCCCAGTGGTCGAGTAGAGCCCCACCCTTTTGTCCTGCTGGTGGAGGTGTGGGGCGGCTCTGGTGCCCGCCGCCGCAGCATCGTGGTGGCACTGGTGGTGCACGTCACGCCCCGGAGCACCCCGGTGCCACCCAGCACCACCACCCAGCACACGGTGAGCAGAGCCCGCTGACCAGGAGGTGCTCCAGGCTCCCTTGAACCTCCCATGGCCCCTCACCCCACTGC